TGTTTGATCTTTGTTAATTTGATTAATTTGTGTCTTGGGGTGTTTTGCCTTGGGTTTCGGAGAAGGCAATGGCACCCCACTCCAGTACTCTTGCCTGGAAAATCCCATGGATGGAGGAGCCTGGTGGGCTGCAGTCCATGGGGTCGCTAAGAGTCGGACACGACTGAGCGGCTTCACTTTCATGCATTGGAGAAGGAAATGGCAACCCACTCCAGTGTTCTTGCCTGGAGAATCCCAGAGACGGGGAGCCTGGTGGGCTGCCCTCTATGGGATCACACAGAGTCAGACACGACTGAAGCTAAGGACTTAGCAGCAGCAGCAGCAGCCTTGGGTTTATCCCGTTTGGGACTCTCTGGGTTTCTTGGATGTGGGTTTCTGGTTCCTTCCCCATATTAGGGAAGTTTTCGACTATTGTCTCCTCAAGTATTTTCTCATGCACTTTCTTTTTGTCTTCTTCTTCTGGGACACCTATGATTCGAATGTTGGGGCCTTTAACTTTGTCCCAGAGGTCTCTGAGGTGGTTCTCATTTCTTTTAATTCTTTTTTTCTTTTTTCCTCTCTGCTTCATTTATTTCCACCATTCCATCTTCCACCTCACCTATCCTCTCTTCTGCCTCAGTTATTCTACTGCTGGTTCCCTCCAGAGTGCTTTTGATCTCAGTTACTGCATTATTCATTATTGGTTGATTCTTCTTTATTTCTTCTAGATCCTTAGTTAAACATTTCTTGCATTTTCTCAGTCCTTGCCTCTAGTCTATTTATGTGTAGCTCCATTTTGTTTTCAAGATTTTGGGTCATCTTTACTGTCATTATTCTGAATACTTTTTCAAGTATCTCCTCCTTTTTTGTTTGGTTTGGTGGGTTTTTAGCATGTTCCTTCCCCTGCTGAATATTTCTCCACCTTTTCATTTTGTTTTTATTGCTGTGTTTGGGTTGCCCTTTCTGCAGGCTGGAAGTTCATGGTTCCTCTTAATTGTGAAGTCTTCTCCCTGTGGGTGGGGTTGGACTGATGGCTTGTCAAGGTTTCCTGGTTGGAGGAGCTTGTGTCTGTGTTCTTGTGGGTGGAACTGGATCTCTTCTCTCTGGATTGCAATAAAGTGTCCAGTAGTGAGTTTGGGGGTGTCTGTGAGTTTAGCATGGCTTTGGGCAGTCCATCTTTTAATGTTCAAGGTTGGGTTCCTGTTTGCTGGAGAATTATTGTGGTGTGTTTTGCACTGGATCTTGTTAGCTCTTGGGTGGAGCTTGGTTTCAGTGTAGGTGTGGAGACTTTTAGGTGAGCTCTTGTCTATTAATGTTCTCTAGAGTCAGGAGTTCTCTGATGTTCTAAAGTTTTGGAATTAAGCCTCCTGCCTCTGACTTTCAGTCCCTGTTTTACAGTAGCCACAAGACTTCTCCATCCACAGAGCATAGAAGGTTAAACCCCTAGGTTTATTGGTGAAACAATTCTTCACAGCCAGAAACACCCAGAGAGATTCACAGAGTTATATAGAGAAGAAAAGAGGGAGGAGGGAGATAGAGGTGACCAGGAGGAGAAAAGGGAGAGTCGAAAGAGGAGAGAACAATTTAGCCATTAATCTAATCCCTAAGTGCTCTCCACAGCCTAGAAAACCCAGAGAGGTTCACAGAGTTATATACAGAAGAGAAGAGGGAGGAAGGCAATAGAGGTGACCTGGAGGAGAAAAAGGAGAGAGCAGTCAAGCCAGTTATCAAATCCTTAAGTGAAAATGGACACTGAAGATTAGATTCTTAGAGGTACAAAATTGATAATGAATATTAAAAAGCAAAGATTAGAAACCTGGAATAGAGGTTAGACTCTCAAAAATAAAATATAAAAAATAACAAAACATAATCATAGTACTCAAAAACTATGGAATTTGATTTCTAAAAAAATAGGGGTTTCTTTGGGAAACTTAATAGTAGGCTATAAAAATGAAAGTTAAAGGAGTAATAAAGAACTAAATTTAAAAAATTAAAAAGTGGTAACAGTAAAAATATATCTAGGAATTTCTCTGGGCATTGTGGGGTCTGTTCAGTGGCAGATCATCCCTTGTTCTGGCTTGTAGTTGTTCTCAAGGTCTATAGGTAACCCTCAAATGTCTCCAGTATTAAATGCAGGGTTTCAATCTGTTGCACCTGTTACTTCCAAAGCAGTTCCACCTTCTTTGTTCATTTTGGCTTCCTTTGAAAGTCCCTTCAGTGTCTAATTTCCACCCTGATGCAAGGGGCCGAAGGTGGCCACTTATTTAGGCTCACTTGTTCAGTTGTGTTCAGTTGGAGAGGGAGGGACACTGCAAACAAATACCGTTGGCATGTGTGGCAAGTGCTCGCAGTGGATGGACCACACTGGGTTTGCCACAGTCCAAGGCAGCATGTGCTTTCTGGGTCTAGACTGATCTGTCTCCAGGGTGCTCTGCAAGGGCACTGTCCCAAGTGCCAAGTGGGCCCTGAGTTTCGTGCACTTCCCAGGTCTAAGCAGCTCAGGTTCTCAGGTGCTCCACAAGGGCACAGACCCGGATAGACTATGCATTTTGTGCCCTTCCCAGGTCCGAGTAGCTCAGGCGACCGGCTGCTTGGTGAGCGGGCTGTCCCAGGTGGGCCATGCTTCTTAGTCACCTGCCTGGTCCCCGCCACTCAGTGTCCTGGGTGTGCCACAAGATCACAGTTCCAGGTGTGCCGTATGTCTACTCTGGGGAGCTGATCTCAGGTTGTGACACTCCTGGCAGATGTCAACCAGCTAGGATCCCAAGAAGACGAGGTTAGCAACTGGGAGCCTGCTCATAGTTTGGTGGAAGATGTGATCTCTGGGGCCAAGATGGCAGCAGCCCCTTGCCTTCTGGCTCTAGCTATCTCTCGCCCACCTCTCTGCCTCCAGGGAGGAAGGGCCCTATACGGCAGCTGGCTTACTCTCCTTTGATATTTGCTCAATCCTTTGTTCTGTGAGAGTGCCAGGGGTGCCGATAGAGCCTTTCTTGAGAAAGGTCTTTTTTGTGTGTCTCTCTGTTGATCCCATGGTTTCGGTTGCTGTCTCACATTAGCTCCCTCAGATTGTCCTCAAGGCATTCAGGTCCGGTCCTTACCCTAAGGACCAGTTATGCAGCCTGCGCCTCCCTGCCCAGCCCCTACTCACTGGTGGTGGACCCGAGTGTCTGGGCCACTTCTCCACTGGCAGTTGTGGTTAGGCGCATATTCTGTGGGTTGTTTTTTTTTTTTCCTCCTGGTTATGTTGCCCTCTGAGATTCCAGAACTCCCCACAGACACGCCTGTGAGAGGGTTTCCTAATGTGTGGAAACTTCTCCTCTTTCTTGATTCTCTCCCCAGGATGGGTTTCCGTCCGTAAATCTTTTGTCTCAGTTTTTGTCTTTTATATTTTGTCTTACCTCCTTTTGAAGAGATTGGGCTGCCTTTCTGGGTTCCTGGTTTCCTCCGCCAGCATTCAGAAGTTGTTTTGTGGAAGTTGCTCAGCATTCAAATGATCTTTTGATGAATTTGTGGGGGAAAAAGTGATCTCCCCGTCCTATTCCTCTGCCACCTTGGGACCGTCCCCTGGTTTACAATTGTTAATTGACTCTTACTTCATCCCACAGCTGTCAAGCATAGAAAGACATGATGGAGGAAGAAACAATGGACTTGTCCCTCACGAATTTGAGATTTTCAGCTTCCCAGTAGCCAGTGGGAATTTTATCAACACTGGTTTTGTTCCAGATTTCATCATGTGAAATGTCTTATCCACTGACATCTGACTTTTTTTCTTACATTTGTCAGATATATTTGACTGTGTTTGTTCATGTTAAAAATAAAAATTTGCTAGCCGTGGATAAGCCACAGATGTTTTAGATGTGTAACACTGATGCGAATCTTGTATCTTTTTGTTTCAGTCCACTTTACTGTCATTGAAACCATTTTTTTTTAAGTTCTTGCATTGCAGGTGGATTCTTTACCAACCAAGTTATCAGGAAGCCCTTTATTGTAGCCACAGGTTAATTAATATATCAATTGACAAACAGTTTATGCAAGGAGAGAGATGGAGGTCTAGCCCCTACTTCATTTTAGTGAAAGGAACCAGTGGGTGACCAAGCTTATCTGGAGACCAGATGGAGCTACTGAGCTGCCACAGACCAGCGGCATCAGCATCACCTGGGAACTTGTTTGAAGTGCAACTTCTCAGGCCCCACTCCAGATTTACTGGATCATTATTCTGAAGCTGCTCAGCTATCAGAGCTTTACATGTCCTCCAGGTGACTCTGAAGCATCTCAAAGTTTCAGCATCATCGTCTTAGAGCAATGATGGGCGGGGATGGGTGTTGTGAGGGACTGAGTTTCTCCTGTGGTAAGACCATTGTTTGTTCAGTGACTTGATACAATTTCAGGTAAGCTGAATGGGACAGTAAAGGCTGGAATGGGGACGAGACTAGAATTCTCAAGGCCCTGAGATACAGAAAAACCTCCTGGCAGGGCAGGGATTGGATGGTGGCAGTGAAGAAAAAATGGATGAGGGAACAAACTAGGTTCAGAAGGATAGAACCATTATGATATCATGAATATGAGGTTTAAAAACATGCATAACTATCACTGATTATGGATACATATATGTAGTAAAAGGTATGCATGGAAGGAATGCATGCATATGTAATGTGTAGAAAGGCATGTATGAGGATGATAAACACCTTGCTTAGGATAGTGGAGAGGGAGAGAGGAGAATTCAACTGGGAAAGGTTACTCTTACTTTCCTAGGGCTGCAGTACCAAATTACCACAAAGTAGTTGGCTTAAAACAACATAAAATTTATTCTTTCACCCGTTCTAGAGGTCAAAAGTCTGAAAGCAAAGGGCTCTGGGGGAGAATCCTCCTTGCCACCCCCAGTTTGTGGTGGCTTCTGGCACTTCTTGGCTTGTGGCAAAATAACCCCAGTCTTCACATGACCTTCTTCCCTGTGTCTGTGTATCTCAAATCTCACTCTTTCTGTTATAAGGATACCACCCAGTCCATTTAGGGCCCATCCCAAATCCAGGGTGACTCCATTAAATTAGATCCTAATGTAATTACAACTTCAAAGACCTATTTCCATATAAGGTCACATTCACAGGTACCAGGGAACTGGACTTGGGCATATCTTTCTGGAGGACACAGGTACGTACCGGGCTTCAACTGTATCTGTAGTGTAAAATTTCTGAAGTTGGGTGATGGGTACATGGATGTAGTATTCTTTATACCATTATGTAGGTCTGATATATTTCCTGACCTTCTCCCTGCCAAAAAGATGGAAAGAAGAAAATGGACCTAAGAAATGGAAGCTATTTAAGGGGGGTAGGGGGGGAATGAACTTGTAATTGACCAGAATATAGGATCAAAGAAGGAGAAAGGCCAGGGGGTTGATGGTAGAGGATTTCCTTTAGGCATTTTCTGGTAAGGCAGTGTAGGTGCGGTGCTCTCTAGGTCTCATTGGTACCTCCTCCCTTCTTTCATATTCTATGGTAGCATGTCTCATATCCTAATATATTTTCACATTTTTACATATTTGTGTCTACTTCCATCTCCCAACCCCTAGGATATGAGCTTCTGAATGATTGGAATCTTAAAGGGATTTATTTCTCTCTGTCTCTCCCAAAGCACCTATCAATAGTACTGTGTTTTCTTCTTAGTAGGTGCTCCATAAATTAGTGCTAAAATAAAGTTAATGCAATGTCATCCTCTTTTCTGTCATCGGTGTTAACATTTTAAAAGTGCATTACCACATATTAACATGCAGCATTACTTATGGAGTGGCACAGGGCTTTGTCTCCCCCACTCAGTATTTTAATTTCATTAAATGAGTTAATACACAGAAAGCACTCAGAGGAGCACATGTACTTAAGTGTCATGTGTTTGCTCTTAGTCTTTCCATTTTAGTTTCTGTAGTGTTACTATTATCACTAAGAAGTTAAAATACACAAGAGTCCCATAGCAAGTGCAAGTACCACTTTATAAATAAATAAAGCAAAGAGAATGTAACCAATTTAATAATAATACCTTTGAGACTAGAAATCTTGTATCCTCACTCCCAGACTTTTGTAGTAAAAGTCTAACTACATTAGATAGCTGACAAACTACATTAAAACATTTGTTTTCACTGATTTATAATTTATCCCTTGTGTACATTCAGAGAGAAGTTGAGACACCTTACAGTCAAAATATATAAACAATAGCCACACTATTCACAATAGCCAAGACATGGAAACAACCTGAATGTCCATCAACAGATGAATGGATAAAGAAGATGTGGTACATTTCTCAGAATGAAATAATGCCATTTGCAGCAACATGGAGTAACATAGATGAACCTAGAGATTACCATACTAAGTAAAGTAAGTCAGAAAGAGAAAGACAAATACCATATGGTAGCACTTACATGTGGAATCTAAAACATGACACAAGTAAACTTATCTGTGAAACAGAAACAGACTCACAGACATAGAGAACAGACTTGTGATTGCCAAGTGGGAGGAGTGTGGGGGGAGGGATGGGTTGGGAGTTTGGGGTTAGCAGATGAAACTATTATATAGAGAGTGGATAAACAACAATAGGGAACTATATTTGATATCCTATAATAAGCCATAATGGAAAAAGGATATGAGAAAGTATATATATATATATATATATATATATATATATATATGCATGTACAACTGAATCACTCTGCTATATAGCAGAAATTAGCACAACATTGTAAATCAACTATACTTCAATAAAATAAATTTTAAAAAATACAAAAGGGCAGTCCAAGTAGGAATTTATCTACGTAATGTCATTTGAAGGGCCTCATGTTGTTTCTGATTAGTTTGTGCTGTGCTTTCTCCTATCTTTCTGCTAAAATATAAAAAGGGATCCTTTCCTCCAGTTTCCATAGCACTTTCCCTATTTCCCTTATAACTCACTGGCAGCCTCCACAATTGCCTTCAACTGGGCTTCTGATAAGATTCTCTTCAAAGCATCTTTGACTATCTCTAATAACTCTCTCAAAGTCCTTTCTTTGTTTCTTTGTTGTTATTGTTTACCATGAAACCCTACTGTCAGTGCCAACATGTATTTTACTTTTCTATTGCTGTGCAACAAATGGCTGGTCACATTGTTGTTGAGTTGCTAAATCATGTCTGACTCTTTATGTCCCCATGGACTGCAGCACATCAGGCTTCCCTGTCCTTCACTATCTCCTGGAGTTTGTTCACACTCATATCCACTGAGTTGGTCATGCCATCCAACCATCTCATCCTCTGTCGCCCTCTTTTCCTCCTGCCCTCAATCTTTCCCAGCATCAGGGTCTTTTGGTCATCTTTATCAAATGAGATAAGGTTCTACACTAGAGCATGACCACCACGAGGCAAGGATCTTTGGGGCATTCTTAGAGGCTGGCTGTCACAGTGCCTGTGTTGAACTGGTTGTTTATCATAGTGCTGCTCTGACATCCAAGTTAGAGGGGCTTGTAATAGGCCCCATGCTTTAGAGATTCCACTCCTACCCTCTTCCAGCCTCATCTCTCTGCAAACAGCCAAGGACAGTCGAGGAGATGTGCACACTGAGAACCCACCTGCCTCCCTCCAAACTTGTTTCATGTATCAGAGGCCCTTAATTTGGTGCCCAAGGAACCCCAAGCTCCAAGAAGCCTGCATGCTCCTCATCACTAAATTTGTGCTTCTGAGGGCTGGATGGCACTTCCAGTGTTATATTCCCAGGACTGGGAGGTAACAAAGAGGTGGTGGCTCTATTTGGGGAACAGGAGACAACTGTGCTTCAGTATCCATATATAGCATGTGAAGCTTCTGGAGGTGAGGAATGAAGATCAGAGTGAGTAGAAAGGGGAAGAGGTTGTGTCCAGGGCCCAGGATGTGGACCAAGTGGCCTGTGTTGGGGGCCAAGCTCTCCCCACTTTGCTGGAACAGAACTTTTGAGGAGTCTAGGTACTGTGCACAGACCCTAAGTGACCCTCAACCTCTATGTTATTCATACTCACATATGTCTCCTTCCCTTAAGTTGGGATGAAGCTGTGTGTTCCTCCTACCCATCAGAATATGGAAAAGTCAATGGGATGGTACTCTCTTGATTATATTAGTATGTTACTGTAGTTTGATCTTTAAATTATTTATGTGGTAATTTGGTTTTCCTATTTCACAATGAAAAACTAATACACCTAGCCTAGGAGAGGACAGCCCTGGAAACTCCAGTTCTCCTAGTATGTTGTTTTCAATTTCACCCAACTATTCTTAATATATCCCAGTTATAGATAGCTTTGTGTTTTTAAATTAACTAGATAAAAGAAAAAGAGACTAAAATATGACAAGTAATTGAAATTTGAACTTCACTGAAGGATGGATTTCTTTTAAACAAATAGGAGACAGAACCTGCTACTTTGAAAATCCCCTGCCTCTCCTGGATAGCAAATGATGTGAAAGTTAAGAAAAAGCTTCTGGGCAAAGGTCAAATCCAGAAGCCTTCTGGGAAAATATGGTGTAAAGATGAAGTCAAGGGTGTGACCATATTCTGTTAAGGCCTCAGGAAGATCTGGGCCAATACCCCAGAGATCCTTAAAGTTAACAAACAAAACAAAATAAACCCTTGTAAGAAGTTGAAGGGTGTTATCTAAGACATCTCAGCAGAAACCCAAGGTCCAAAGGGATTACCTGAAAGTGAGTCATGTATGTGCCTTTTGCCTACTGGAGTGAACCCTAGTAAGATTACTTAGAAGG